GAATGTCTCTATGCGGGGCCCATAATCCCAATATTTGACATGGGTTTCATTTATGGGAGCTTGACTCTTGACACCCCGGGTGGGATTTCCAAAGGGACCCAGGTCACTTAGGGGTGCAAGCCCTCCTCATAGCGAACCAGACCATGTATCTAAATTATAGAATTGTAGAAAATGAGGGTTGAAGGGAGCTCAGGAAGTCACATCTAGTCCAACCGCCTGCTCAAAGCAGAACCAGCCCCAACTACATCCTGCCAGACAAGGCTTTGTCTGCCTGGGTCTTCAAAACCTCCAAGGATGGAGAGTCCACCACCTCTCTGGCCAGCCTGTTCCAATGCTTTACTACCCTCCTCATCAAAAAGTTTTCCCTAATATCTAACCTCAACTTTTCTTGCTGCAACTGGAGCCCACTGCTCCTTGTCCTGTCATCTGCCCCCACTGAGAACAGCCCAGCTCCATCCTCTTTGAAGCCACCCTGCAGGGAGCTGAAGGCTGCTATTCAATCCCCCCCTCAGCCTCAGTCTCTCTTCTCCAAATCACTTTTGCACATTTGACAGGATCTCCTGCTTTCTTTTCATGAGTTTCCAACCAAAGTCAATGGGAGCTGCATGCACTCAAGTGTCTTGAAAATGCAATCACCAGGGTGAAATCTTGGTTCTACAGACACCACTGGCTTAATTCCCATAGGGTCAGGGTTTCAACAGGGTGTCTAAGCTGGGCACGTGTCCTGACCTGGCCGAGACAGCACAATGAACCATGTGCAGAACCAGGAGTCCCGGCCTCCCCGTCTCCCTAGACTTAAGTCTCTCTCTTGCCTTCCTCAGTGCCTGAGCAAAGTGGGACCAGGGAGGGTCCCATTTATACTGCTGGAACATGCACATTATATAACGTCATCAAGCACTTCGTTTTCTAAAAAGGAGCAGAAATCCTAAAGCAAGCTAAAGCACTGTGTGTGTATGGGCATGCATGTATGTATTTACACGTGTCTACACATGCGTGCATGTGCACATGAGAACATATGCCTGCGTGCACAGGAGTGCATATGCATGTGCGTATGTATGCACGCACACATTTGTGTATGCATGTGTGCATGTGCACATGTGTGTGTGTGTGTACACACAGGTGTATGTGTGCACACGCATGTATAAACGCACATGGGAGAATGTGCAGCAGGCACCAACATTTCATAGCCAGTCCTGCCAGGAGGATTTAGAGAGCAGAGCAAGCGAAGAGCTGCAGCTGACCTGGGTCTGCTCGGAGCGCTGGCTTCTCCCTGGGCCTCTCCCAGTCGATCAGGAAGATGGAGATGGTTAGCTGGGTGATCAGGATGTGGAGCAGGTCCAGAGCCTGCAGCAAAGGCAGACAGAACAGGTGGGTTCATTACCCCCTGGCTGAGAGGGATACAGACACACGCAGCACCCCGGCATCCCCTGCGCTGGAGCTGGCACATGCCAAGCTGGAGACTCCTTGAGCTGCTCCATCTCTACCGGTTTCCAAGGCCCAGGTTGACTTTCACTTCCCCACAGGGCTCAAGAAGCAGGGACCGTCCCCAGGGACAGAGGAGCACACAGCTGTGGGCGGGTGTCTGAAGCTGAAGACTTAGAATCAGAGAACCATAGAAAATTTGGGTTGGAAGAGACCTGAAGGGGTCACATCTAGTCCAACCCCCTGCTCAATGCTGGATGAGCCCCAACTACATCATCCCAGCCAAGGTTTTGTTGAGCTGGGCCTTAAAAACCTGCAATGATGGAGAGTCCACCACCTTTCTAGGTAACCCATTCCAGTGTTTTACTGCCCTCCTAGTGAGAACATTTTTCCTAATATCCAACCTCAACTTCCCTTGCTGCAGCTTGAGACCATTGCTCCTTGTCCTGTCATCTGCAACCTTCCAGCCCCATCCTCTTTGGAGCCCCCCTTCAGGGAGCTGAAGGCTGCTATTAAATCCCCCCTCAGCCTCTTCTTCTGCAAACTAAATAAACCCAGTTCCCCCAGCCTCACCTCATAAGTCGTGTGCCCCAGCCCCCAAACCATTTTCGTTGCCCTAACAAGCAGCGGCTTCAGGGTGACGAGCCCATCTGATCCACCCCGGGCAGCAGCAAGGGGCCAGGTGAGCTGCCATCAGCCGCAAGCCAGATGCAATTGTCTGTTTGGAGGTAACTCGTGAGAACCACGGCAGTGAATCCTACAGGCATCGCAGCCTCAGCTCAGCCTCTCCAAAGCGGAGTGCTCTTCTTTAAGCTGGAGATCTTATAACAGAAGGGTTTTTTCCCCAGAAGTGTTCCCGCGCATTTGGCTTCAGACAGGCTGGAATCCCACAGCAATGGTATTCCCCCAGGATTTTGGCCTTCCTCCCTGGTAGGATCAGTACTGCCGTAGAAAAACCCATCCCCCCTACCATAAGCCTAGGAAAACCCATCCCCACTCCTCCCTGTCATAAGTACCTTCAACCCAAAAGCGCAGGACAGGTAGATAATGAAGCTGGTTTCCAGCTGACTGCCGGCTGGGGGCAGGGTGACCCCCACTGCCGAAAGCTGCTGGCCCTGGGGAGACAGATTTAGATGCAGTCAGAGAAGAGGGTGCAAAAATATATATATCCAGCCTGGTCGTTTCCTGCAGATCGTGGCTATCCTCTGGGGACTGCCCGCCACGCACTGGCAGAGAACTGCTCCGGTGCAACTTGGCTGAATGTCTTTGCAATCGGCTCCCTCGTGCCTTGGCAGATTTTAAATAACCCACGCAGTTGATTTTCTGACACTTGCCTCAGGGAACCATCCCACGGCTCCCCTGATCTCCCCAGAGCAGTAAGATAGATGCTCTTTCATTGCTTTTTTCAGAGTTTGCTCTAACCCTCAGACATCTGGTTGCTCCTGCCCCGGTGAGAGATTCCTCTTATCCCTGGGGGTCAGGGATTGCACAAATGCAGCCGTGCGAGGGTGAGGTTACGCGATACACTTAGACCAGACTTGATCTGTGAAATGTTATGTAAGGACGTGCCGTGAGCAGTCGCACGTTAAGGGTTACTGCTGTTTCTTGCCTGCACGGCTCTGACCTGCCACGAGAGGGCAGGTGACTAGGGGCATGGCTAGAGGTCACGATGCCTGGGTTCAATGCCTGCTCTGTCTGGAGGGGGGGTAGCAGCAGTGCATCCTGGGATGCAAGAGGACTGCAGGTTGCTCGTTTCATGGAGCCGACTGAAGTTACCCTAACATGAGCCCAGAGTTAACCCTCACCTGAAGTGGCATAACACTGAGATACGCAGAGGGTACTTCGCAGGAGTTAACGAGCTTTAACACGCAGACGCTCACGATTTAAGTGTTCTTAGTGTGGTCTAAGTGTAAGTGCAACTTCACCTGCTGCAGGCTTACCCCAATGCAATCTGCCTTTATGGGGTGAGTCACTCTGCTCTGGGGGGGAAAGTACCCCACAAAAAGCTGTAGAAACCATGCACCAGTGTAAGCCACGCTGATAGCCGTGTCCTGTGTCCCCAAGATCCAGGCAATTTCACCTGAGTATCCCTGGGGGGCCCTTTCCTCAAACTATCCCCTATTCTCCCTGCCATAGCAGCCTGCAGTCTGTTGCCCTGGGATAACCTGGCTGTGTGTCCGCACAGTATCCCAGCCTAATTTACAACACCAACGTAAATTAAACTGGGGTAAACATGCCATGTTTTTGCACCCTGCCCCCCTTTCAAAACTGCTATGACTCCAGATCTACCCTGGCACCAAAAGTAGGCAGATCAAGACACTGCGGGCAAGAGGTCCAGCGTGGGGGAGTTAGTAACCAAGCCCTGCGTGCAGCTCAGGGGAGAGCCACGCAACCCACATAAGAAACACAGCTATTATTCACCTTGAAAACAATGAGCCAGTAAATCCCAATTCCCAGGGTGACCCCGAAGAAGGCGTTGGCTAGAGACCCAGCAAAGAAGGCAAAGAACTTGATAATGACCTGTGGAAGGAGAAAGAAGCAGGGCAGTAATTGCGAGGAGGGAAAACCACGCCGCATGTGTTAGTTTGATCCTGGCCTTTGGGTCAGATGCTAGGCTATAAGCTACATCCTTTTTCCACCCAGGAGAGACACAGGGAGCTTAACAGAAAATGGGCCAATTCCAGTCCTGGTGTAAAGGCCAGCACCTGTCAGCACCAAGAGGCTCAGATGTCTCATTGACATCAGCGCAGAGCAGGTGAATCAGGGGCCCTGGGAGCAGCTGATGGCTCGGCGGAGAGGCAGCGTGGGTAGCTCTTTCCCAGAATAAGACAGGGGCATTTCCTCTCTGTCCCTCTCCCTCCAATGCTTTCCATCTGAGGAGCTCACGATGAGCTGGGGGATGAGCAAGCAGGTGCACAACCTGCCTGCAAGCCTGGCCTTACCCCTCCCCAGATCCCAGAGGGGTTGGACTTGCCTGTGGTCAAAGTCAGAGGGGGAAAAACCAGCCCCCAGTGCTCTGGCACCCTGACTTTTGCTGGGTCCCCTGTTCCTCTGTGCAACTCTTAGCTCCTCCTGCCTTTGTGCCCTGTCCTTTGAATCACAAGCTGAAGAGGCCTCAGGGAGCAATGCAGAGGGGCAGGGGAAGCAGGGAGGCAGGAGTAAGCCTCCAGAGAGCTGAAGAGAGAGGAGGGGAGGACACAAATCGTGGTGTTTGGCTAGAACAGAGGATCCCTCTTATGGAGCCTGAGCTGGCGTAGCTGGGGCAGCATTGCCCTCTCGTGGAGCTACAGCATACACCGGCAGACGACGTTTGTCAACTGGTGTATCAGCAATGTCCCCCCAAAGGACACTAAATGAGCCCACAGAAGGGTCCTGCTGTCAGCAAAGCTGCATCTGGACCAATGCATCTGGATTGCATTGCATTGCTGGAGTGCAATGTAATCCAGCAAAGCATTGCATCTGGATGCAGCAATACTGCATCTTGGCATTGCTATGTCTGATGGTGGAAGGTGGGGGTTGCACCAGCTGAGGTTTGATGTTCAGGCACCACCAAAGTCCCCGGAGGGCTGAGAAAGACAGGAGTGGGGTTCAGACTCGCTGGGGGAAATGACAGATGTGGGCACAGAGGGTAGCTTGGCTTCAGCTTTCCAGAGCTGCACAGCGCAGCAAGGACTGAGGAAGCCCCTGAAAGATGGCACTGAGATAACTCAGCTGGGACACAACAAGGGAGATGAGCATTTGCAGAGCAGTCACGTGCCATCACGTGCCTGCCCCATTCAGGAGGCAGCAGCATGCAGTGTCCAGGCATGGATGCAGCACGTTCAATCTCCTTACCACAAGGCTTATGTTCTGAAGTCGAGACCTCCGCACCCAGCTGCTGGTCTTCAGCAAGGCGTACAAGGCTGCCAGCGACCCCAGGACTGCAAGCGCTATCTGTCGGAGAAAGCAAGGAGGCACCACAGCACTGGAAGGGACCTCAGGAGGACACATCTAGTCCAACTCCCTGCTAAGTGGCTAAGCATTCATCTAACCTAAGAGGATGCACTTGCACCCAGGCCTTGTGCCGCAGCAGTTACACACCCGAACCCCAGGGCCACCCCGGAGAAGCCCTGCAGGAACTCAGAGGATCCTAATGATCCTTTCTGCCCCTAAGTCCCCTGCAGCCATGAGCAGGGTTTGCCGGTCCAGCCTGCTCTGAGTCCTTTACATTGCTGGTTGGGACATTTTCAGCTAAGCTTTTGGTGGAGAAATGTTGACTCTCCAAGCTGACACATCTGCAGGGTCTCGAGCAGCTAGGGAGGTGCATCCAAAGCGGTTTCTCCACCACCTTTCTGGATTTGCAACATGCCAACTGGATTTGAGAGCATCGGGAGATGCTGTCAACAAGTCCTTCTCATCCTAGCCAGGTCCCTTCACGGGCTCTTGTGTGTGACCACATGCAACTTGGTAAGCCCTGCCACCTTCAACGTCCTCCCTCCCATGCCCTGGATTAGCCTTCCTGCCTCTGCTGGGCATTTCCCACCTCTGGACATCCCTCAGCAACCCATTGCAGAGGGTGAAAACCGTTCAACTCACAACGGTGACTTGCTGGGATGCCTCTGGGATCTGGCTGTAGGCCACGGCAAAGGACACCTGCAGGGGTCGAGAAGCAGGGAGAAGGCATGAGTGCAACAGGGGTGAGAAAAACCCATGGGCAGCAGAGCATCCGGGTGGACCGTGACCTGGGAACATCGGCCAACGCTTTCCAAGAGAGACTTGGGATGCAGGGCTCCAGGGATGGAGTCGGTGGCCTGGCGTCTCAAGTCCACTAATGTCACCTGCTGCTATCAGACACTGCCGCTCCTCCCAGGTCCATCCCCTCCACCCGGGGCATATGACCCTTCACAGAGCTGCTGCTCAGGTGTCCTGCGTTGACCTGCTGTGGCACGCCAGAGCCCCTTGCCCCAGCTGCCCGTGCCCTGCATGGCACGCAGGACGAGCTGGCTGCCCTCCCTGCCTCCCTTCCTGGGCTCGGGGAGGGGAGGAGAGGCGAAATCTGAACTCAGCCTCAACCCTGACAACATCCAGAGCTGGCTCCCATCTCTAATTATCACCTGCTGAAGCAACAGCTGCTGAGCGCTGGGGAGCTCAAAGGAAAGTCAAGCAGGTCTTGTTGTTTCAGCTGCTTCGTTTCACATTATGCCTCGTTCGCTCTCCCCCCGCCCGTAGCAGCGCCCGCCAAGGGGACCCCGCCATGCCCCGCACTTGCCTGCGTTATTGCCGTGCTCTCTTGCCTTGTGTACTTCACTGTCAACAGGAAAGGAGGCTGGTCTCCAGGGCTACTGGTTGGGAGGTAAATGCTGGGCAAGCCGGTGGTAAGGAGGGAAAGAAACCAGAGAGGGGTTATCCGGGGGACAGAGCATCTAATTGGAGTTGCACAATGCATTTTAATTAAACCTCAACAGGAAACGAGGTTGCTGCAAGTTGCCATCTCTCCCTTACACTAGAAAAGAAAGATTGCAGGAATGCTTTTCATGCCAAGGATGGGGAATCTCAGCGCCAAGGCAGGTGGAGATGAGGAGAACGCAATGTCCTCGGGGAGGATGGCTGGGTGGGTAAAGGCAGGCCCAGGGTAGATGGGAATGCAGTCACGCCGGTGGAGCTGAGCTGCTGCCCAGAGAGGGGAGCTGCATCTGCGTCTCTGTCCCGCGGGCATCGTGAAATCACAAGAGGAGCCCAATTCTGGTCCAAAATGCAGCGAAAGCAGACCAGCCCCTTGCAAACTCCCCCAAGGGCTAGAGCTCTATGCCCCTGTATCTGAGAAGGCCAGTGCTATTTTAACCCCCTAATTGGAGTTGCACAATGCATTTTAATTAAACCTCAACAGGAAACGAGGTTGCTGCAAGTTGCCATCTCTCCCTTACACTAGAAAAGAAAGATTGATCCACTGTCTGCCTCCCTCCCAGCTCCTGATCCCTTGTGGCTTGGTTGTACCCGCCTGCCACCAAGCTGTACCGTCCTCTCCTGCAAAAGCACCTGCAGCGTGCCTGCTCGCTAACAGACACGGGGAGGGAGAGACACGGAAGTGCACACAGAAACGCAGTTGTGGCGGCATAAACGGGAAATCTCGTGTCGTGTACATGCGCCCAGATGGCATCCGAAAAGGCTGATCCAGCACCTGCCTGCTGCGCGCTCCTCTTGCTCTCTACCTGAGGAGCAGATCCGCTGCCAGCATAACAGATGCCGGCGGGTTGGCCAGGTTCCCTGTTCTGCCCGAGAGCCCGTCGACAAGGAAGAACCGTCTCAGAGGCTGCGAATTCAAGGCGGCTGGAAGAAACACACAGAGCAGAAGTTTAGGTGCTTTTAGGAGCTGAAGGCAGCCATGCAGGAGACGGGAGCAGAGAAAGGCTGTGAATTTTATGAGCGCTGAGTGGCTTGTTATCCAGGAGCCACATGCCCTTAGGCTGGACAAGAGCCTACAACTCGCACAGCCTGCGGCCTCTCACAACCTGTACAGCCTCCCCGACAGCCTGTTAATATACAGTAGGGGAGGCAATGGGGCCTCCGCCAGCAAACCTCCATCTCTCTCTCGCACACACACCCTTTAGCAGATGCACAGAGCTATTCAGCAGAGCAGCCCCCAGCAAAACTACTGGAAGGAATCAAATTATACAGTGAGGAGCAGCATATTCTGCCTCTACCAGACCCTTGAGGTCCTTGCTGGGCTCGGTTCCTGCACGCTGCCCCATTTGCAGGATCAGGTTTGGGCTTTTCCTATGGAAGCTCCTCCTGTGCAGACTGAAAAGGGACTCTGCAATATGGAAGGGCCATACATTATGCAAAAGGCAACTTCTGGCTGGAAATTCACAACTTTCCACCACACGGGAAAGTTTCGGATGAAAAAAAAGGTTGTATTTGCAAACAATAAAGGACAAGCTGGCCAAAATGGGTGCAGAATGCTTCCCCCTTCCCTAAGGCAAGCGTTGCCGGCTCCAAGCAGCTCAGCGCACAAAGCTGGGGCAGGGAGGAGGTCCCCCAGCCCTGACAGCACACGTCACTTCTGGGAGATACTGGAAAGTATAAATTCAATGTGCACATGGGAATCTAAGCTTAATTTCCTTGTGCTAAATCTGCTGATGGCAATTAATCCCTCATTTTACTCTACGTTCACCATGTCTTCAATGCTGGCCCACATGGCAGCCCTCTTATGCCAGCGGCTTCAGCCGTTTTATTTAAGGCTGCACTTCGATAAATACGGCGCCTTACGTTCTGCAGCTTGTAGCTACAGCAGCACCTCCGGGATGCTACACCAGGTGCTCTGAGCTTCAGGACATTAAAAGCACAGCTGGCCATTCATTGCAAATCACAATGCACGTATAAAACTGCCTGTGCATATATATGGCTAAACTGTGTGCACATTTTTACCCCAAATGCATGAGCACATATACTAGCTGTACATGCAAGTGATTAGGCAGCAGCATTACGGATGATAAATAGGCCATTCTTTCAGCCTAAGTCATACACCCTGGAGCCGAGGGACTTTCCAAAGCTTTCACAGCGAGTCAGTGTTAGACTTGGCTCTCATCACAGCAAGCCTTACAGCCAATGCACTGGTTGTCAGCGCCTCCAGGAAAATCACTTAACAAAAGTGTCCTGTCTGTAAAGTAGGAGCAGGAAAAAAAGTGATCAAAGAGGCTTGATTAATCCAAAATGCTCGTCTGAGAAACTGCAAAGCGAAACCAACTCGTCTAATTCCAACGCCTGATTTTCCACCAAAAAAAAAAAAAAAAGGCAATCACGGCCCGGCACGCATAATTGTACAGCTAATTTGCGCAGGCGACACTAGGAGAATTACGGGCATTTGCATGTGTAAATACCCAATTGGCATCTGGTAATTGTGTATGCAAATGAGGTGCCCGATTGCACGCACGTTTTTGGGTACAGGAAATTCTGATTGAAAGATTTTTCCAGGAGAACAGTCTAAGGCTTCATTAATGACACGGGGATGGGAATTTTACCGGCAGCATCATTCTCACAGCAGATAAAGCCGGAGCCAGCGGGAGACAAATCTCCCACACAACACGAGCCAGCTCCACAGTCCAGGGGCACACATGGGCTTTCCGACATCTATTTCCAGCCACTAAAGGTTTTAAGATTCATGACTGCATTTTTAAAACGCTAAGGGATAATGGGGTGGAACATGCTCGCTGCTGGCTCTCCATCACTTGTTACGCGAAGCAGGAGGATTCGGCAAGGACTGATCTGTGAGGAGGATGAAAAGCAAGGCCACGGAGCCGGGGCCGCGGGACTGTGCACGCAGGGAGCACGCTGGAGGGGGTCCTTGTTGCATGGCACCAACCTGGGACAGGGACCGAGGCAATGGCTCGGCTGCGTACATGCACCGAGGGCAGCTCGGAGCTAATTCAGCCTCAGCGTGCTCTCTCAGAGCGGGCGTTCAGGGCATGTTTCACCCCAGGATGAAAACTTTGAGGGTTTGTGCAGCTGAAATTATAGCCTTGAGGTGAAGCATGAGGACCAGCCTGTGTCCAGCCCTCAAGAGCTGAATTGCACCCTCTTCTCCCCCACGTTATCCTGCCCCGGACATGACTGGTCTTTGCTCTGCTCTGTGCTACCAAGTGGTAGATTTTGCCCACAATGGACTTCCACGCACAGACTTGAGCCCACTAGGACCTAATCAAAGTCCTTAAACCGGCAAGTCCGCCCATCCGAGTCAGAGAGATGCTACCCGAGCCTCGGCTGGAGCTTCAGCCTAGGACAGCGGTTCCCAGTCTGTAGTACGCGCACCACCAGTGGCATGCAGACAACCTGTCAGTGGTACACATTAACAGATTTATTATAATTACTTTATACGACAAAAACTTGCCGGTGGTACTTAAGGTTGTATCGTTTTAAATTGGTAGCACGCAATCTGTCAGAGTTTGAGAACCGCTGGCCTAGGGTTAACGTAAGGCACCTACTTGCAGGCCTGGCTGGGGAGAAGTCAGCTTAACCAGGTGCAGGGGAGCCTGGCTGGACCGGGGGGATACCGAGGAAATGCACCCGCTATGCTATTCTCAAGCCCGTTTTAACTCTCGCCCCATTCAAGCCTCACTGCCTATTCTCCCCCCTTTCCCCCTTCACTCATAATGAGTCATCTCTGAGCAGCGTCCATCTCAGACTAGGGGACTAACATCAGCCTCACAAGTAAGTAACTATCCCCCTATGTGCCAAGGCCGGTCCAGAGCCCTCGCCACGACCCTCCCTGATCAGGAGAGGCAGCATCCTGCGGGCCGCCAAGAAAGCCGCGGGCAGGCATGGAGCGTGATCTGCTCCATCCTGTTCCCTGGCTCCGCCGAAGCACGTCGCTCCCTGCCGATGATAAATGAAGAACCCGGGACAATGTCTCTTTTCATCCTCGGGGTGCCCCTAGCAGCGGAGAGGCCGGCTGGCAGGGTGGGAGGAGGGAGCTATTGGTTCTGCGTCCCGTCTGCCGAGCTCTCGCTGATGAAGACTGACATCGCTGGCTGCTGGGCTTGCAATTACCGCGCGCCCGGCAGGGCTCCAAGCAGGGGGGTTATATGGAAACCTTGCTTTTTTTTTTTTTCCCCCCTGCCCCGTTATTCTTTGCAAGCATTAACTGATAAGCCGCTGTGGGGATGCAGAGGAGCCTGCCTCCTTTCGTACTGCCAATAGCCAGAGCGTGGGTCGTGGCCGTAGGGGCCCATCTTACCATGCACCCGTGCCCCTTGCAAAAGGCACTGCGGGCCTGCTGTCCAGGCAGCGTTTGCTCCACCGAGCTGTCTCACACCACGGGCCCTTAAAATAGAGGTCCCCGTGGGACATGTTGGCCTCTGCCCGGGGCTAGGAAACCCTGCCTCGGAGTCTGTCTCTCTAACCCTGACCCTCCACCCCCTCGCTGGGAGATAAAAGGCCTCGGCAAAGCCCTGCGAACAGATTGACATGGCGGGCAGCCCCCTTGGAGACGCTTTATAGTGCAAAACGACACCTGCTCCATCCTTTCCTTGCAGAGTCGCCGGATTCCTGTTCATTAAGAATGGCCCTGCGGAGAGCCGCCGTCAAAGCCCGAGCCCAGCCTGTTGCCTTGCAATGATTCATGAGCAGGTACTCGGCTAACAAGCATTGGCACCGGTGCAGTGGCTGGGATAGCTGGGGGTCCCTTCCCCATGTGCCTGGGCTTCATCATCGGCTGGCTGAAGAGGTGGATGACCGAGGGCCGTGCAAAGGCACCAGGGTTGTCTCCAGCAGGAGGAGAGGGCCCGAGGGACTCTCACCGTGGTCGCTCAGCTGGAGCTGGGGATTGGCAATAGGCACCGGCCACAGCCAGGGGTTGCCCTGGTCATCCGGGAACTCCAGGAACAGCTCGTAGAGCGTGGGCTCAGGGACACGCCGCAGCAGGTCGGACACCTGGACCCTGCACTGGGGGAAGAGAACGGGGGCTGTTAATGCAGAGCCTGCGTCACCATCCTCAGGGACTTCGGTTTGCATGGCACAGCCCCCTGCATCCCAGCGTGACACCAGTTTCCCCCAGCTCAAACTGGAGGGGTGATTCTGGGAGTGCAGGGAGACCGTCGTGGCGAAACCAGGACAATCAGCTGCTCCACCTGCGTCAGAGCAGGCAGGCGCTCCCCAGAGCTCCCGGGCTGCAACGTGGATACCCAGCGGTGTCTGCCGTTTAAAATAGCACGAGCAGATTCAGCTTGATTCCCACATGCACAAGCCGGCTTGTTTGCTTCGCAGCTGGAGAAGATGCACATCCCTTCCCCCAGAGCTGGAGGGACTTATCCTGCTGCAGTAGTAGCAGCCCAGCATCACCAGTGCTATCTCAGCACAGCGTAGAAAGGGGCAGGAGGGCGAGACCCCCAGCAGGGAAGTCCTAGCAGGGGGGGGAGATGGCCACAGAGCTGCCAGCACACACTTACGGACTGATGGTAGGACGTGCCGAAGGAGAAGGCGGCATCCAGCACGCTCTGACGGTCTGTGCAGAGCTAACGGGGGAGGAAGGAAAGCTCTGAGGCCAGGCGATTGCAAAAGGGAGTCGCAGCCCTGTCTCCTAAAAACCTCTGCCCCCAGCCGGCCTCCCTGCAGGGTGGATCCGTAGTAGAGCCCCTCTATTGTTTCTCCCTAAGTGGTCTCGAGCCGCCCAGACAGTGAGGAGCTGCCTTTGGGACATGATTTTACAGTGTAAAGCAGCAGGAGCCTGCAGGCCACCCCTCCATCCCGTCTCTGCTCAGATGCATCCTTGTACGCATGGATGTGGCAATGAGAGCTCCCTATGGGGCACCCCTGGCACTGTGCTTGAGCCCCCCCGGATCCTGGTGCCCTCAGGAATGGCTTTTTGGGCATCTTCACAGCCTTATTCCTGGGGTTCCCCACTAAGGGGCTGACTCTCGAAGCAGCGTGACTGATGACCCCATAAGCACACCCATAGGGACTTGCCAAAGGCCACACAGTCAGCCTGTGGCAGAGCAAGGACTCGAACCCATGTCCCCTTTGCTCTAGGCTGGCACCCAAATGCCTGGAGCCTCCTTCGTGCCGTGTGAAACCCATTGCCCCTGCTTCTGAGTCAGGAGAGATGGCCCGTTTCCTCTCGGGTCTCGGGTGCGAGGCCTCAACCCTGCCAGGCTGTCACACAACCGCATCGGGAGCTCGAGTCTAATTTACAACTCGCCGTCCCTTGGCTGGCATGTGCTAGCTGCTGGGTCAGCCCTGACCATTTGCATCCACGCATGTGCCATGCCCCTGTCCTGATTCATTTCTTTGCTATTACGCTGGTGACTTCCTGCCCCACTTTCTAGATCTCTCATGATGCTATTGAATAAAGAAGGGTTCCAGACACCTCCCTCCAGCCCGTTTTTTGATCCTATTCAGTGCTCCTTGATCTCCAGCCACCTTTCATGCTAGAGACGGTGCTTATCTGCATGGATGTGGAGAGAACGAGTTCCCGCGCGGCTGGTACCAGGGGTGAGAGCGCACCGTGGTGCAAAGAGAGATATGTCTAAAGATGAAATGAATACAGCTCCCCTCCCTGCCACAGCGGACTCCCAGCCCTGGGATCACCATGAGGTCCTGGAGGCGACAAAACGAACCAACCTGCAACGTGCCACCCTTCACATCCTCCCAGCCTAGGAAGTTTCCTCGGACATCGTACTTCACAACCTTAAGGCCGATCTGCTGCAAACATGGAAAGAAGCTCTGAAACGTGTTCGGATGGCGACGGGGTAGGGTGATAAAGGACCTGCCCGTCATTTCTGGCTCGGATGCCCATGCACATATCTGCCGTGACTTGCCTTCGAGCCCTTCCAGGGGAGGAACTGGGGAACTCCCCTTCCCGGAGATGTCTCGGGTGTGCGGTAAAACAGCTCGGGAAGGTTTTGGCCTCTGAAAAGAAAATCCGGTTGTATTTCTGCAAGGGAAGCAGGCGAGGCTTCGTCCACATTATGCAGAGCCATGGCTCTCTCGAGTGCTGCGCGTCCCCCAGGCTGCCTGGATAATCAGAGCTCTGTGGCGTCCTACATCACCCGCAGAAAAGAGCTTTTACACCAGTGTCTCTCAGGCCAGGGGGTCACAAGACCCTTCCCCACCTGCCTTCCCACTGGGTTGCAAACACCCCCAAGCTGGGCACTGAGTGCAAATCTTCCTGTGGACCAGGAGTCACGCAGCAGCTTGGGGGGTTGGAAGGAGGCTCCAGGTTAAGTTAATCTGAGCACCGCTGTCCTAAGCTCCTGGGTCCCCCCCAGCCCCTTTGGGACCTGTCCTTTCCCTCCTGGGGACCATTCTGAATTTACAGGGAGTCAGCACCAACCAAAGGCCATGAGGGCTGTGCCATCTCTCCATTGGCACCTACCCTCATCCTTACTGGCACGCTCCTCTATAAGCGGTGGACGCTAAACGGGCTCGTCTCACCCCGGCGGTGGTGCCTTTGAAGCCCAAGTCAGGCTTATTGGAGTGTGCAGTGTAACAGGAGAGTTTAGCATGGGCAATTAGGGTAGGGATGCTCATCGTGTGCATCTCCTGCATAGTGCAGGGATTTAGGCCCACTTTATGGCAGCCAAGGAGAATCACAGCATGAAGGATGGAAGGGATCTGGTCCAACCCCTGCTCCAAGCAGCACCAGCTCCAGCTCCATCATCCCAGCCAAGGATTTATCTACCAGGGTCTTGAAAACCTCCAAGGATGGAGATCCCACCACCTCTCTGGGTAGCCAAACTAAATAAGCCCAGTTCCCTCAGCCTCTCTTGCCTGCTCCCTGCACAGTCCTGGCCCCTTTGGCAACAGGACTGCTGTGGATGGAGAAATTCGGTCTCCAGCGCAACCAGCACAGACGTCCCTGCCAGATGCAGCACCTTCCCTCTGGGTCCTGCAGAAGCGGAGAGACTCACCTAGCCTTTGTGTACAGGTCGAAGGCCCTGGTTTCCAAGGAGAAGGCGTTCAGAATAACCGTGTTGGCGAGGAGCTGGCAGGCTGTGAGGTTGCAGGAGCTCTAGGGAAGAAGAAAATAAAGCAGGGCAGCACCAAGAAAACACCGCTTGGGTCCCATGGGAGCAAGCCCCAGGGCAGACACCGGTAGAGTCGGTGCCTTGCACTGGGGAGAGCAGTTTCTCTTTCCTTTATCCTGGTGGAGGCAAATCAGTCAAAAACCCACCCCAAGCCTCGTAAGTGCTAGCCGGGCTAACGAGCCCCACTCTCTAGCCAGTGGCACACCTGGGAGCACTGTGGCTAATATCATGTTCCTAGCCCCTATAACGAGCTGGGGCATGAGTTATAATGAGATACCTTTACCTCCCTGCCAGATGCATTTGGTTTTTAAGATGCATTTTCAAAAGCAAATCCCTGCACCCCTCAGAGCAGCACAAGGCAAGAAATGCGCTGCACGACACTGCCAAGCGTCCACGTGGGGGAAAACGGAGTACGGCTACCCTTCTTAGCTCCCCCATCCCGCATCCTTTCACAGCCTTTCCTCTTAGCTTCTTATGTTTAAAAGGCAGCACACCACCCCATCCACCCAGGTACCCCCCCACACCATAGCATGGTGAGAAGGTGGCCGTGGTACTTACATTGCAAGCCAAAAAGCTGCTGTCCAGGAAGGCAGACTCCCAGAGCGAGGCAGGCTGCCGGGGACTCTGCGGGGGAGAAAACAGCTTGGATGCAGAAAGGCTTTGGTGATGCAAGGAGGGGAAAGGTGGCCAGAGCCAGGGCATGCACCTACGCAAGCTTTGCAGTCCCCCGCAGGGTGGGCCTGGCCTGCCCCGGTCAGCCCGGCAGCACAGATGCACCTCAGGCCTAGGAAGGAGAGGACAAGAAGGTGAAGGAAGGAGGTGGCATAGCCAAGGGTCCTTGGGATCAGTTCTGGCACTGCCCGAGGTTGTTCAGATAGAGAGCCTGACCTCAGACGGGGCATGGGAGCTGCTAGCCCCATAGGTCTGTAGGGTCTCCGGTGTACAGGAGCAGACGTGCAGACACCACGCAAGCGTGGCAGGGCTGGGAGCTCTCATATGGCTCACCTGTGCATATAGACCCAACTTGCACCCTTCTGCATCGTGCTGGGGTGCTGGGCTGAGGATGGCCCCTTGCACCGACACCCTGGCACCAACTCACCTTCAGGGCTTTTCACCTCGTGCTTCCCGCAGGGGCTGCAGCGCTGAGTCTGGGTGCTCAGGTATTCGCTGGGGCTGCAGCGTCCTGCCGGGGAAGAGGGGCCGGGGCTGCTCCTAGCCGGTCCAGAGCAATACAGAGCATGCAGCAGCCAGGCCCAGAGCAAGGGGGACCCTGCTGAGGGAGGCATTTTACCTAGCCCCGGTGCCCACTGGCCAAGCTGCCTCCAAGCTCTGGCTCTCCGTGGGGCAAAGGGTGGAGAGCTGCCTGCATGCCTAGCAGGAGCGTCCCTGGTTACCAACCTGTTACGCAGAAGAAAGCCCTGGCACCTCCCCAAGGTAACCAAAAACACACCCAGCCAGGCGCAACACCTGCAGCATCCCACTTCTGGGCCTGCCGGTGCAAAGGGGGCTGGGAGCTGCCAGGCCAGGCATGCCTCCGGAGATAGCGCAGACAGTCCCGTGCCGTAAAATAGGCCTGGAAATAGCAAGAGGTTGTTGCAACAAGTGTGGTAGCAGAGCTCCGGTTGCCTGGCCCGGCTCCGACTGCTGGAGGGGGGAGCAGGGGGGCGACAAGAAGGGGTTTTGGCAAACCAGTCTCAAATCTGTGCCGGCTTTTGCCCCTCTCCTTTCTCCTGGGGCTCAGACTCTGGAATTTGCTTGTACGGGAGGGAAGGAGAATTTATCTCGAAGCGCTGAGCCGGGTCTCAGCTAAGAAATGCATTAAAGTCCTACCTCTAAAAATGAATGCTCAGGGCTTCTGGGTCTCTCGGAAACTGGAGCGAGCTGGGGATAAGAAGGATTTGGGGGTGTTCATCTTTGGAGCGGGGGTATTATATTTGTTAGGAGTTTTGCCCGTCTGCAAAGGGAGCAGCTGCCGTGCGCTCCCCGCCGGGACAACCTGGCAGGCATCAGATGCACGGGTCCCCGCAGAGATAACTTTGATGCCTCCTTGCTTTCACCGAGCTGAGATCAAACGAGTCGACGTAGTGCTCGGCGGGCAGCAAGGCACTAGGGAAACGGCAGGGAGCCGGGCTGGAAGTGGGAGAGGACAAGGCAAGTGGGAGTGCGAGGCAGGGGAAAAAAGCAGAAGGTAGGAGCTGACACGTGGATTCAAACTGGTCTTTCCTGGAGCAATGAACACAACTTTCACAAAAGATTCACGTGGGCAACACGTGCAATCTAGAGGTCAAGGCCTCATCTTTCCTTTCCAACCTGCCCATCTCTCTGATCAGAGTGGGCTCAAACCAGTGAGCTCAAAGAAGTCCCCGAAGCCTTTGCTTAACCGGAGACTGGGCTAAACTCACCCAACGCAGAGAGGAAGCTAACAAGAGTCGTACCCACAGTAAACGTGGTCCGTTTAATTCAGTGCTGTTGCTATTAGATCCGATGCTGGGAATACATGCAGTTCACTAAACAGACACTTGATGGGACTACAACACCTTTAAATATAGCCACATGCAGGAAAAAAGTCATTTTAAGGGCTGCCTTGCTAGACTAAGCACGCTCAGCAGTGTCTCAGGGCTTCTGGATACTGGCTTGCAGGCTGTCTTTAGGCCAGTGATTCTCAAGCAGAGAGCCAGGACATACCACCAGATCCTTTGAAAGGTGCCCAAAGGTGCAAGGAGATAATCACAGACTCATAGAAAATGAGGGTTGAAGGGACCTCGGGAGCTCACGTCTAGTCCACCCCCTGCTCAAAGCAGCACCAGTCCCAACTACATCTTCCCAGCTAGGGCTTTGTCTAGTCGGGTCTGCAAAACCTCCAAGGATGGAGAGTCCACCACTGCCCTGGGTAACCTGTTCCCGTGCTTCACCACCCTCCTAGTGAGAAAGTTTTGCCTAATATCCAACCTCAACTTACTTTGCTGCAACTGGAGCCCATTGCTCCTTGTCCTGCCGTCTGCCCCCACTGAGACCAGCCCAGCTCCATCCCCTTTGGACCCACCCTGCAGATAAGCACATAAACTAAGCAGCTACGTGCAGGTTTATTCCTGGCTCGATGATCCCCCCAACCCCACTGCCCAGCCCCCCTGCAAGGAGATACACACTATAATATATAAATTAGTTTTTAAAACTAGGGCCACTCAGCTCCAAAAGTTCAGGAGGGGGACCTCGAGTCCAGTGAGGGGTCCTCAAGTCCGACGAGGCTGAGACCCACTGCTTTAGGTAGGCACAACTCCGATAAGAGTTTGTCTCCAGTTTCTAACCCACTGTCCGGGACCCCATCCCTGTAGCCTCTGGGCATCTTCGACATGAAATCAATAGCAGTTGTGAGGCCTTTACCTGGATTTCCGGCACTTCTCCCTCTTTGGCATTGCAGGTCTTGGGGTCAGCTCTGCTTGGGACGGGATCTCTTGGCTGGGTTGGGGATTTCAAGGGGTCTGGGATGAAAAGGGTGAGCAGAAGGAACTCTTCACAGATCCAAAGGCAGAGCTCAGCCTTACCCTGCTTGGGGAAATTTTTGGCTACATCTAATATTTCCCTTCCATTAGATTGCAAAATCCTTTACAGTAGAGATCAGGAGCAGCATCCCCCATTTTACAGGTGGGAAGACAGAGGCACAGAGACTGAAGCAACTTGCTATCCAGAAGGCCAGTGGCAAAGCTGGGGCTAGATCTGGGTCTCCATGCATAGTTAAACTTCCTTAATACCTTCCCCTTTAAAGGCAAGGATACGTTTAACCTATAGGAGTCCGAAACCAGACTCGTTCATTAACTTGTGTATATACAAGCCCAAGCTCCCACATGCATGGACACGTCACCGGCTTCAGGAAATGCAGCATATCAGCTATTCTCAGCTGCCACGATCGGTACAGAGGAGGCTGCCTTGCTTCCATCTATCCGCTGTCACGGTTGCTCCAGATACTCTCCAGGGACAAAAAGCCACATAGGAGAGGGAACGACGTTTGAGTCAATGCAAAGCCTGATGTCTGGAAACCGCCTCTTGATTTGCAGAGCAGACTTCATCTGGGCCTGAATGATACAGCCTTCGAGCCGGGAAGAGATCAATCACTGAAGACAGCTCAGCGTGGCACGGAGAGCAGGGCGCCTCGAGAGGAAAATGAATCATGCAGAGGCCAACAAAAGGAGCAAAAACACCACGGCAGCTCCTGGCTACCTGCCACCCAGTCTGCACCAGTAGAAAGATCCCAAAGCACTGGAGCTGCTCATTCCTTATGACTCTCCAGGTCACCAGGGAATAGCCTTAAACCTACGACAGCATGCCACGGCCTGGATTGTTACCAGGATTTTTGTTGTTGCAGTAGGGTCCAGGAGATGCAGTCCGAGATTAGCGCCCTGTTGTGCTTGTTCCCTAAAATTAACACGTCAGGAAGCCTTTCTCCACCCCACTTTCAGATGGCCCTGCACGAATACCATGGTGTGACCTGCACGCCTGAAGTGGGTTGCAGGATCCCCCCTCTATGCAGCATCAGCTTGCAGAAATGCCTCCAGTTTTCTAGCTTTGATCCAGGCTGCGATCACTTTAGACCTAACCCTGCTATCACAAATACCAGGACAAGGAGGGCTAGGACTGAATTACAGAGACTTTCCCTCGTCCGTGTCTGGAGAGCTCATCGGGGCCCACAGAGCGTGAATCAGAAACCCAGCGTACAGCACAGAGCTGCCCTCTGAACAGCGGGCTGCAATGCAGGGCCCGGTGCTGCAAAGCTCTCCGCAAACAGGAACGGCCCAGGTGTCCCAGCCCCGCTCCAAAATCACCTGGTGCAACCCCAAGAGCAGCCTATCCAGCCATGCAAACAAGTCGCTTATCATGCATGAAAGGCTGGGACTGCATAAATCAGGAGCTGACTGATAATGGGAACGGCGGCGGGCCTGACAGCGGGAATGATGGTGACAGGACTCAATTGTTACGGACTGATGCTGATGGATGGGTAACGGGGCCACGACAGGTGAGAGACGGCATAATGTAATAGCCATAAATCACACGGAGAGGTTTTAAAAACCAAATGCATCTGGAATCACCTTCGTTATCGATGCTCGTAACCCCCAGACACTTCAACGCCAGGAAGACCTTCCCCGCTGTAATAGAGCTGCCGCATAAAACCTCCCAGGCGAGGCCCAGCACGTTCTCTGCATCCAGCAGAAGAGGAAAGGAAGCATTGTTTCCTGCGGCTGGATTTTAAGTAACGGAGCTGGAGCAGGCACCGGGTTATAATTAACCTCTGGTTTTTAAATGGCGGCATGCTCAAGCCAGAGAGCTGCACCCATTCTCGAAAAGTAATTACAGTAATAGAGTCATTAACGCTTTGCAAGAGACAGCGGCAGCTGCGGCAGAAAGGCCCGCGGTAGGATGCTAGCTCGCACCCTCCCGGCTCCTGCCGGGCTGCTCCGCGGTCTCTGCCGGTTGCTGGTCCACGCAGGGCATGCTCACCCATAGCAGGGCCGTTAGGGGCCAATGTGCTGCATCTCCCCGGGAGAGAAGGTGGTCAGAGTTGATGCTCCAATGTCCCCCGAGGTTCCCGACCGTCTCAGGCTAACGTGGCAAACACATGCACCCCCAGGGACTGGACGTCAAAGGAAAGAGGCTGCTGTGGCCTGAAACCAGCTGTGAATGAAGCATCCAGACAGCCACGGGCAGGATTTCCACAGCTGCCTACAGGCTTCCTCAGAAAGGGCTCCCCGGGACCTTGCCGACTGCTTCTCGTGTCTTAGCATCTTAAAGCAGCCTGTCACTTGCTCCAAGGGGAAGCCCCTCTCCATACCCATCTCATCCCATACAAGGAAATGATAAATACTGCAAGAGAGAGGCTACACGGGGCACATGTCTGGGACACCCCATGCAGCCGTATGAATAATCAAAACAGCCAGGTTGACCTGCCTCGGATGATGTTCGGCGTGCTTAGGAGAATAATCGTTAGTAATCAATAGCCAGAGGCTATGCACGCAGGGGAATCACAGCATAAATCACTGCAATGCAGCTCCTTTTGGGGTGCAAAGCAGCAGCCAGTTGACGCACATCACATCTTCCAATAGATGTGGGAGAAGGAAATAGGTCTCGGTTGCAGGGGGAAATTGTGGCCAAGGACAGAGGGGCCCACATGAAAAGCACCCATGCAGGGTAGAGAGAGGAATCAGACTTTGAAGGCCTCATATGGAGGACCCAATCTCACCCGAAACTACAGAGAATATGTGCTCCGGTCGAGCCAAGTGGCCCTGGTGGGACTAGAAACACCAGGGCACAAAGCCAAGCCGACTCCAAGCTCCTCTCCGGGACCTGTTGGTGGCCACGTTTTAAAGGAGCATCATTCTTTCGTCGCGTTACAGGTCACCAAGGGTTAAAAGTTGCACTGAGACAAGGAGAGCACATCTACACGTGCCTCTTTTAAGCAGGCTGAGCTTAAAATCGCCATTTTTAAAGCACATTAAGGACACGTGTCTACACATATGCATTCTTAATGCGCCTCAAAAATGGCAATTTGAGGCTATAGGTGAATCTAAATTTGATATCTTCATACGGAAGGTATCAAATTGAGGTGCGAATAGCCAAGTTGCACTGGCGCACGTGTAGACGCGCTAATGCACATTAACTCGGTGCACACCAATGGATGCACGTGGTGTGAATTAGCACGTCTCTATGCGTGCTGATGTGACTTAGCTATTTGTGCCTAAGTTTAATGCGCCTTAATACACATTAACGTGTGCACGCCTAAATCACCTTAAAGTACCTTAAGCGAAGGCGTGCATAAATACGTGTAGACATGCCTCAACTGGGCTCATGACCTTTCCTCCCTTGATGAATCATCTTTTTTCTGGAGCAGCTGGAGCTCAGGGTCAATGGGATGACTTTCCGTGCAATTAATTTGGTAGAGAATGGGAGGCCACCGAACCAAAACACTTGAGAGCAGACTGGACTGACCCCTATGCTCAGATTCCCACTGCACGGTGCGGGTCAAGCTCTTCCTGCACTGATGGTGGCTTCAGGGAGGTTTTAAAACTAAGGCCAGGCTTTTCAAACGAAACCCACGCTTTCTTATGAGACACAACTCGTGTCCTGCTGCAGTAACCCATTGCCAGCCATCAATACGTTGCACTAAGTGCTCCTCCGCGTCCAGCATTTGCTTACGTTGATGCAACACGCAGGCCAGGACTGCATTTCTCCAAGCAAAATAAAGCCCCGTAAAACATCTCTGCCAAGGCTGCTGCTGACGTAGCTTCCCCTTTAGCTCACAAAATATGCACAAGGTGAGGCAGTAAAAATGTGGCAGTCTCCAAATTATTCCCTGCCTGCAATGCTGCATAAGTCAGTCGGAGAAATGCCAAGGCCTCTGCCCTGCAAACAGCTTGTGCATTTGCAAGTCAAAAGAGTATATAAAGAAAACACTTTGAGGGGTTGCTTTAAGGCCCCGATTCTGCAAAGATGCATGCACATGCTTAACGACAGCGCCCTTGGTCAATGACAGAGCTGATGTATTACATGCATCGAGTGAACGTAGGTATATCATTGCTGGATTGAGAGCTAAATTAGGTACTGCAACGAGTGCCTGGTACTTCAGTGTCACAGCGACAGGTGCTTTCTGAAGATGCTAGAGAGAGATGAAGCCGTCAGCCAGGCACAGCTCTCCCTCCCAGGGGAATAACTAGCAATATCCCACACGCAGACGTCGAGAGAACTCATCTTCTCTCAAGATCGCTGGCCTGACGTGTGCGTCAGCCCAGGGTAGAGGCTTGTGAGATGGGCCTGTTGGAAGGGGAGTGGAATAAGACACGGGAGCCTGCCCCACCGACAACATGCCTTGCCCCTGGCCGCTCAGAGGGGAGACCCATTCGTGTTGCGCAGCCCATTCAAGCCAAGGGCTTCGTGCTCGGTAGAGGCAGCAAGAGGGTCGGTTGTGGATGCAGTCTGCAAGCTGTGACCTGGCAGAGAAGACCGAGAACAATCTTGTCCATAATCCATTGAAAAGTTGATGCAATTTTTAGGCATAGCAGGCTAATTTGAACCAGGGACCCAAATGTTATGAGTTCCTTATCCCCCTGCTCAGCTTCCTACCTGCACGGGATGCTTTATAGCACCACTGGGATTAAGGGCCATGCTATGGTGTGCTTAGGTGGTGGCAGGTGGCTTTAAATCTGGGGTCTGTTGTGGGTCAGGAAGGACAGTTTATGCTGCCATTTACTCTACCCTTTGGGCAAAAGCAAAACCAGGACTGATCTTAATAGACCGGATGTGTCTGGGCAGGGAAAATGATGCAGGAGACAGTTTGGGGAGCTGTGAAAGTAGAACCTGAGTCCCTAAAAGAGCAGGGAACATACGAAACCCAATCAGTTGGTTAGATTCAAACAAGGGATTGGACACGTCCTTGGAGGAAAGGGGCATCAGTCGCTGTTGAGCATGGAGTAAGCGTCTGAATCAAGAGCTTCCTATGCTGGAAGCTGCAAGGGAGAGAGGAACCGGGGAAAACCCCCTGATCAGACCCAGTTCACCCCTTCTTTCAGCTTCCACTGTGACAGGAGTCTGGGCAAGATGGACCAACGGCCTGACCCATCGATGGCAATGCTTACGTTGGCCCAGCTGCGACCGGGCCTTTCAACCCAGAGAAGCTAAAAGTGCCTGGGGATCATGCCAGTCCCATCGTTTCCACCGGATAAAGAAACTGGTATACCTGAACCACGCTAGCTCATCAAGTAACTCCAACTCAAGCAGGGCCGTTGCTTCTTCATACACCGGCGCGGCTCCGAGACGCTCAGCACGAATCAACACACAGCGAGGACAGGATTAGAAACTAATTTCTTTGGACCATTTATTCCCATCCCCACCCCGCCTCTTCCCTCGTCAAAAATCAGAACAGGTTATCCAACCCCGGTCTGGAAACGTTCTCAGAGAAATCGTTAAACCCACGGGACGTAAACCACACAATCCAAGTACAACATATTGATCGTCTACACAGCCGCGCTCGGTACACGATATGGCAGCAAAAGTGTCACGTACAGCGTCAAAGTCAAAACAACAGAACTTGGACCAAATATAGATCGGATATGTCAAGAGTAAAATACAGCATCGGGAGCCCCGGTGGAAGCCACGGACGCTCTGCAACACGGGGCAGTACAGTTAAACATTTTCTTTACTTTATAGGATTTTTAATATATTTTTGACTCTCTCTTTTTTTTTTTTTTTTTTTTACAAAAATACACGTGCAAACAACATATTGTCACTGCTAAACTTCTCTAGTTTGGAAAAGAACCAAGGAAGAATCCAGGGACCAAAAAAAAAAAGAGAACGAACCTACACGCGGTTACGCTTTAATAATCCCCTGCTACTGGGAGAGGGTGGAGAGTTCATTGATAGGGGTTGCCTATACGTCTGAGATCCACCACATGGTTTTAATGCAGCTACAAGTGCCAGCTAAGCCCTCCAGCAGTGTTTTATCCTCACATGGTTCAACTTTGAGCTCATCTCAAAACCCCCGGAGAAGCGAGACGCACGCAGAATTTGGGCTCTGCGATGCAACATCCAGACCTGCCCCCCTGAGATCCAGGACGGGGAGGGGGTATGGCTTCCAGCAGCACAAACATGTTTTGCAAGAGGACAGCAGTGGCTCGGGTACAAAGACCGGTGTGATTAAGGTTTCTGATCAGGTGCGGCTGGAATGACCTGAACTCTCCCCAAACCCTTCCCAGCTGCATGCTGGATCTCACGGCATCTCCTGAGCAGAGCCCTTCTTACTGTGACCTTCTGGAGCAGAGACACCCATCTCAAAAGGAGACCGCAGGGCAGTTTCTGAAATGCTCTTGCCCACGCTGTGCCATTACCCATTTGGACGGGAGGTGTTTGGCCAGTGGACCAACAGAGAGCTGCCCTTTCACTCCTTTCAGCTGACTCTCCCACAAGTCCAGCTTGAAATGCAACCCAGAAACTAGCATTTCCAAAACCTCCTCCTTCAAGCAACGCAGCGTGGGCTTGAATGACGAGGTCCACCGTTTCCCTACCACCTTGACTGATGCTCAGAGCAAGGTTCAACCTATTCTGTCCGGTTTGACCCAAGCCAAGGTCAAGTTATTGCTCCTCTGACTGGGAGACCAAGTCGGGGGCATCAGGAGAAGGACAGAAAGCAACACAAGCAAAGGACCTTTGGGAACCTCACGACTCAGTCTCAGATTTAAAGAGGGGGAAAGCCGTGACCAGTCAGCGATGAGATGCTTTTCTCAAGACACATAATTACGGGGGGGGTTGAATTAGCAGCTCCTTGACAAGGCAATGATTGCATCACAATGCAATGATTGCATTAAACCCACAAATGTTTAACTCGGGGCGATCACTGCATATTGCAGTCATTGCATGATTGCAAGGATTCACATATTGCCAGGGTGAAAGCCTCGGGTCTCCATCGTGATTGTGTACAGTGCAGACCTGGGGGCCTCCTCTGTAGGACAGTTTTAAAGAAGGAAGTGGAGGCCTGACTAAGTTCAAAACACACGACAAAGGTCAGCAGAGCCCTGGGCTCTGACCCAAACAGCACGTAAGCAGGTGCATACCTCCAAGCAGGTGACCCACCCCACTCAAATCCCAAACTTCGAGGTAGACATGTGCCTAAGTACTTTGCTGGTCCTGGCTACTGCAGCAATGGTGTTAGGACACAAGACCTCCTTTAGACCGTGGGCACCTAATATAATTTCTCCAAAGCCTGGTTACAGAATGGGGTTGGCACTGCTCCCTTTTTCCTGCCTCCTTGGGGGTCTGCAGGGGAGGAAGAGTGGTCACTGCGGTCTGTCTAGACTTGCAGGGTCCTTCTCCTCGGGGTGGCTCATGTCTCATAGGAGAGCCACTGCCCAGAGGCAGGGCCCTTTGTCCTGCTCTGTGCTGCAAATTGCATACAGCATCTGGCCCGAATGGTGCAGGGGGACGGGAGAGGGATAGCAGCGTGACTCCAGGAGGAAGCATCTGGGGCGCGGGGCCAGCACAGCGCTCTAATGACTTGCGCTGTGCGGCAGCTCCCACCTCCCTGATGCAGAGCACGGTCTCGTTAGCCTGTTGTAGGCCCCGCTCTCGTTTGCGCTGACGGCTGCGGCTTCTACCTGTCAGCGCAGAACCAGATCGCGGGCACTGCTTATTACACAAACGAGACCTCGCTGCAAGCGATGGACAGTCGCACCACGAGCACAGCTGAGAAGCGGCCAAGCATTGAGCAGGGAAGAGGACCTGCTTTCCCCTTCAGTTTTCACGAGTAAAAAAAAAAATCAAATCACAACTTGGCTGGATTGCCAGCACCAAACGCTGCTGCTTCTCAGCACTGCAAGATTGTCCCGTGGTCCCGGAGGGTGTTTCACATGGTGCTTCCTGAGAGAGGTCCAAAATTGTTGGCTTTTTTCTCTCTTCCGACACGCGCTGGAGAACCGGACATCACACTTGCACAGTGGAGATGCGGAGAGGCTGCTACCACGAAACGCTGTTCTACAGAGTCGGGACCCACAAGCCAAAGGGGTTACATTAAAGGATGGCTATGCTATGTATGCTACAGCACAGAACCGACAGCACGGGGCAGGGTGGTCCCAACGTCCCTTGAAATGCAGGCTCATGTACACGCACGATGCAAGGACGGTAATACTTCTCAGCAGAGACCGAGCTTCGAGCAGGCGGCAACGTCCCCGCACCAAGAGCAGCAGACGGCAGCTGAATTTCTGTTGTGACTTTGGAGGTTTCTGGGAAATCCCATTCGACGGCTGCCCCAGCGCAGGAAGGAGCTGTGATCCCACCTGCCTTTTGCCCTCCTCCGTGCTGAACTTCGCCGCCTCGGCGTTAGCTCCCGCTGCGTGTCATGTTCTCCCTGCGTAGGGGCAGATCCAGCACGGATCTCAGAGGTTCCTGAGTTTTGCTACAAGGCGCCCGTTTCCATGTCGCGAGCTGCTCTTAAACCCCCCTAAATATGCTAAAACCTATCTGCTCCCTTTTTAAAATCACTGGGATATTGCACGGACAGTCCTAGTCGCCCCTTCCTCTCTAAATGCTTGGCTGCGATCAACTGCTCCAGGCAGGGCACAACAATCACGCTGCTGCTGGCACAGCTGGGAACACATCTGGAGATCACCCAGGGCATCGCTGCAAAGACTGTTATGAGGAAGTGGCAAAATCCAGGTGGAAGATCCCTGCAGCGCTGCACAAGATACCGTGGTGGGGGGTCTAACGTCCCACCTTTTCTCAGTGCAATGTGCCAAGAGAGGACAGATGCAGCAGGGACCACAAGGCCGGCAGCTAGAAGGGCAGCACACGTGTCTGCAAGTTGTCCTTTGAAAGCCCCCCGGGTCCAAAACAATTATTGCCAGGAACAAGCCATGGACTCTACCTACAACATAGGCTCTGTCATGAACTGAGGGTCCCTAGAAATAACCCAACCTGTTTTGCCTCCATTGCTTTCCTTTTTTAACTCCCTCATGTTTCAAGCAGTCACTGAACCATCACGACAGCTAGGAGGAAGCTTTAAACTCCTTGGCATGTTCTTACAGGGGAATTGGGATGGCCCCAGCTTAAAAAAAAGCCAACTGGAAAAGCCAGCTGCAAATTGCAAACCCCTCCAGGTGCCCCAGAGGAGCAGGGCATCGCCCTCGACGGGTGCTTTGCTAGTGCATGGCGCCTCTGCAAACACGCTGCAGTTGGCTCTTACCAATGGCTTGGGATTTTATCTGACATCCACCTCTTCTGCAAATTTACAAGCCGTTTCCTTCTCAAGGACAGGAGGGAAATCAACCCCAGGACAGCGAGGCTGGACATCAAGGCTAACAAAGAATCTGGGGAGCAATGGATCCAGAATAGCTCCCCGTCGGGGATGATGTTATTAGCTACTGGGTGCTGAATTAAGCTGTAGAGGCAGATAGTGGGGTGGTGGGCTCAATTCTCTTCCTTTTTAATGAGAAGGGGCTTTAGACACTTGCAAATGCCCAGGGAGATCTGGGAGATGATTCCCTTCTAATGCTTCTCTCTCGCTCCCGCCCTGCATGTCTCCCTGGCCCCCGGTGCTCAGACAAGATTCATTCAAGACTTGTTTCTAGACAGCAAGGATGTTTCAGAAGCAACTCCTCCAGCTCAGGAACCAGCTCATCCCCCCTGCTCATCTGTGCGGCAAGCGGAGGAGCAGATTGCAGAAGCTGAGCCAGCCGGACAGCAAACAAACTCCAAGCTGCTCATCTCCCAGCCTGGCATGTATGGGGGTTGAGTACCCTATTCTGTTCGTTCGACTGGCAGCTGGTGCATGCACGCACCCACCTCCTTGGGAAGGCAGCCCCCCGTTAAAGGAAGGCTAGCAAAATATGTTCCAGCCACGAAACAAAGGAAGACACTCAATGGGTGCGTGAGAGCAACCTCCTGACACGGCAGGTCTATGCAAAGCTCAGAGAACATCATCTAAGTGGTTCAAAGCTGGTGTCTGCTCAGCTCTAGCTCTAGCTGGTCTCCATCCATTGCTAAGGAGCTGCGGTGTGCTCTGCTAATGCAGCCTGCACGAGGGAACCACCGCCCCTTGCAAATGCATTAAGAGACACAGCAACAGTTCTGTCCAGATACTGAGAGAGCTTCACTTTCTCCGAGCAACTCGTGTCCTGTCTTTCCAGTCCCTGCACCATCCTGCAGACCTGGCTTTGCCGTCCCTGTCCTCCAAGACCCGCTGATGCCTCAGAAAGACCAAAGCCTGCGGGCTCTGCTGCACTGATTGAGCGGCATCAAGAGAGACTGGAGTCACTCAAGCAGGGGACAAGAGTGAGCATTCACAGCAGGGCCTTTTCTGGCTGGCTGACGAAGCTGGTTGATGCTGAAGGGCTCAGCGAGCAGGAGCGTGGGATGATTAGATTTGCAAAAACAAGACTAGGATTGGAAGAGGCACAGGAAGCCAGCAGGCCTGGGGGAAAGCTCCCGCCAAGGCTTGCTGGCTGCACCCAGAAATGGGTTTCCAAAGCCCAAGCACATCCACAGCAAACCAGTGGCTGGAAGCAATAGTGAGCAGGGAAGATGAAGCGTTTAACTGACAGGGAAAGCTACGGACACGTCCAGCAATGAGGATTTTCTGGTACACTTCCTGGCCTGGCTATCTGCAGCAAGGAGCCCCTCAAGGACCTGACACTCACCTCCCTGGGTGCAAACACTCAGCCCTCTAAAGAAAATACAGAGGTTTTCCAGGAGAACCTTGCTCCTGCTGATGGATTTGGGTGACAAACCTTCGTGCTGCTGGAGGGGGCTTGGATCACCTCTCCTGACTTCTAGGGAACAGCTGCCAGGGCTACCAGCCTTCCTACAGATGGATGCCCTATTGCAATAGGGTTTGATGCCAAGTGAAGCTCCCGGCCTCTAGACTTGCTCCAGCACCTCCAAGACTGGTCCCTTGTCCCTTCCTTGAGTGCCCTCAGACTTATGTCCCTAAAGAATCCCCCCCGCTCGCATCCAGCCATAATCGTTTCCTTTTAAAGGTCCTTTAAAAAGCAAGACACATCGGCCCACCATACTAGGGCGCCAGCGGGACAATCCAGATGGCAGGACTGATTGCTCTCATCTCCGGCTTGTAGCTCAGCTGATGCTAACCTGCCAAGGTGCCCTACAAACACAAATAGCCTGATGCAGCCATCGGCCTCCAACTTTCCACCCACCCTCTCTGTAAGGATTGTGCATCTCTCGGTCTCTGCTCTGCCGCCCGTTGCAAGGGACCTGGCTTCCACCTGGATCAGCCGCTAGGTGCCAGCCTTAAAAAGCAGCAAGCAGCTGGCGATGCCACATTATTGCCCACTCATCACGTCTGTGCGCTCAGACACACACACTTGCCCCTGCCTGCCAACAGTCCCTTCAAGCACGGCTTGTTACTGAAGCGGTCACGTCAGGGGAACACCGGGAAGTTCTCAGCAGCATGGGCAGGACCGGGGCTCGTCTCAGGATAAGGGAATACAGCAAGACGGCTCCTCCCCTGAGCCCACACAAATGCACGGGGGATCTTCAGCGGCGACTCTGGACACACACGATACTCGGAGAAGACGGAAAGGAGCTGCTCTGGAGGGGAGGAGGCTCCGAAGACGGTCGGTTTGGTTGGCGCTGCTATGTCTACGGGCTGCAGGGCACGGCTCAAAGGTTTGCTGACAATCATGCGGGTTTATTGCAGTGGTTTGTAAAGAGCCCGGCTGCAGCCCGGGCTGGTCCCAGAGGAGGGCTCCTCATGCCAGCCGCTCCTCTCTGCCTTGCTGTGGAGCCTGGGTACCAACCGCAAGGCTACTCCGTAGCCATCTGCTCAATGTGGTCACTCAGCAGCTTGTATTGCTCTACAAGGGAGAGGAAGAGACATAGTGCTGAGATTAGGCATGCTGCAAGGATGCAATGGAGCAGGCGGGGGCTGTGCCCAGGTCAGCGGGCCCCAAAACTGAACCAGCCAGGGCCCAGGAAGCAAGGAAAGGCAACTCTTCCCCGATGAGTTTTGCATGGTAAATCATCCAGAGCAAGCTACCAGCTGGTGACACCCCCCAGATACCAATGCAGCTCTGAGGATTCATGCCAGCTGCACACCTGGCCACAGCACAGTGCCTGCTCATGTTCACCAAGTGCCCAAGTCCATCCCTGCCCTGGGATGCTCCTGTCCTTGGGAAGTAGTAGAAAGTGGGTGAAATATCCCAAATCAACCAGAACCTGAGAGATGCTTTTGCAGCATTAGACTGCCGCGTGCTCTTGACCCTGGCAAAGGAGGCTCTGCTGCAGACTGGGTGACTTCTCCCACTGCCCCAGGCAGTCGCATCCCACCCTCCTCTCGGGGTGTCATCCCTCCCAACCTGCCCCTACCTTCGTCCAGATTGCCGATCACCGCCTGCTTCTTCAAGAAGTCGTTGCAGAGCTTCTTGGTCAGGCCGAATGCCAGCATGTTGTGAGTGAAAGTGCTGGGGAAAGAGACACACGTGTGTGGCACAGGCAGGCCAAACAGATAGCACGTGATGCCCGCACCCGGCGGGCCCCTTCTCTCCTCCCCCTCATCACACTGTCTGTCCCCAAAGGGCAGTGGCAGGGATGATGGTGGGATGATGCTGACTCTCCACCTAGCAGCTGCTAAATGGGGCAGAGTGCTGCTATGCAGCTAGCAATAAGATGCAAAGACCCTGCTTTGCCTTATCCACCTCCTCCCAGTGTCCTGGGCACAAAGGGCTCAATGGGTTTCTTCCTGTTGGCGTGGGGGGACCCCGATGTCTCCCCTTCTCCTTACCCCAGCTGCCCGAAAGTGATGTTCTCATTAAACCGCAGGCTGTCGTCCAGCTCTTCCTGGGTCATGTGGCACCACTTCTCCCTGCAAACGTCCAAGCAGATCTTGTACCAGGAAGCCTCCACGCCGCCCTCCCGCCCCACCAAGAGATGGGCTACCCACGCCGTGCTGGCCTCGGGGGCAGCCAGGAGAGGATCTCAGGTGCAGAGCACCCGTGGTCACTCCTGCTTTCGGCGACCGCAGCTGGCAGACTTCACCCCTCCTTCCTGACGTGCTCAAAGGACCCTTTAGCACCTGTGTTTGTTCTGCCTGACAATGAGTCCCTACACTGCCAGCTCGAGAGCGGGGAAATACTGGCTTGTGCCTTGCACACACAGCTCTAGGAGAGACCGTTAGCACCACCAGCAGTGGGAAGGGCATGAATTTTACCTGCTGGAAGCAGCAATGCCAACATCGTCCCAAAGAGTAAAGCATCCTGCCCCACCTCCATTAAAATCTCTCGGGCCAAACAAACCCAGCGCCTTGCAGCTGTTCAGCTGAGGGCATGCGTCTCAACTGCTTTCCAACCAGCACAGTTTCCCAGAGACCTGGGCTCTTTCTCAAAAAAAAAACACTTTAAAATCACAGAAATTCAACCTAAGGAAGCGAAGCGGGATGCCCTTGATATGCCGGTCTCTCCTGGGGCTGCAGAGTGATGACGGCAAGGCCAGCGCCTGGGTTAGCATGCTATCGGCTGCACTTTGTGGCTCAAGTTGGACTGCAAAGCACATTATATTGGACCACTGCAAGCAAGGAGACATGAGCTTCCCAGGTCAGTGATCATCGCACAGCTCGTGGATTCGTGAGGAGTTTGAAACGAGACACAGGCTGTTCTCTCCACGAGGACTACGGGGCCCCAAAGCATCTTGTCCCATCCTCTCCTAGAGATACAGCTTGATCTACACAATCCCAGGGACGTCTTGGAAAGGGTACTAGGTGCGGGCCAATCTGAGCATCGGTCCATTGGATTGCGCTGGTTGGACACTACCTGACTTTGGACCCTCCCTGTCCCATCCTGCATGCAAAAGGCAACTCAAAACTAGCACCAGGGAGCTGTGGGTCTCCCCCATCGGAGGTCTGATCTGGCTGGGCTTTCACAGGAAAACTACCATCGCAGAAGGTCATCCTGCCATACTCAATGGATGCCAATGGGAGTGAAAGACAGTTACGCGGGGAAGGCTGGTGTCCGGGGCTCAAGCCAGCCCTTTCCCGAAGCCAGATGATGGTTACAAGCCAGGCAAGAAGGAAGGAAAGGGACGGAGAAAGGAGCAGGTAGAAGGAATAAAGTGAAAAAGGAGGAGAACGACAGGGATGGAAAGCAAGCTCTTAGCGCACGTTTGACGTGGGACCCGGCGGTGCTGCATCACAGGGGAAAGGGTGGACCCCGGGATGAGACTCTTCCCAGCTCATTCAAGCCTCGATGGCACAAATTTCTGCTCCTGCTAAAAAGGGCGCCTGGCCACAGCTTCTTCAGACCTCACTTAGGCTGGGCTCAGTCTTGAAAATCCTTCCGAAAATGAGCAGGCCATTGGGTCACCTTGTGAGGAAAGGCTGCAAAACTGGCAGTGTAGGTGCCTAAATCAGCAAGGGTTGCATTGCTGTAGTGGAAAATGGAGGGGTAGGCTTAAAGGCCTAAAAGATGTGCAAAGTCTGCCTGGATAAAACTCACTATAACCGTTAAAATGCACCTCCCGATCCTAAAACTGGAGAAGTGGGGAAACTAATTCAAGTGCCTTCAAATCCAGAAGCAACACTTTGCAGATCTCCTGGGCCCAGGGGGAGAGGAAGCCGATTTAGGTTCTCCTGCCTTTGTAAAGGCCTGATGAAGCAGAGAAAGATCAAAGCAACCAAGAGAAATTGAAAAGGTTTCCGGGCTTTAATTCAGGGATAATGTGTTTGCAAAAGGAAAATGATGTAGCGCTAGTGAAATACTTTGATCTTTGTGCTGCTCCAAAAGGACCACCACGGATGATTGCCTTCATCCATACCAAAGGGTGATTACACTAAATTATCTTCTGTACGATTTAATAGTGTTGGGCAAAGAGTTACCCAGGCACTGCAAAACGAGCTGCCAAAATTCAGGTCCTCTGCAAAGAAACCCATAAGCTAAGCTATGGGCACTGGGCTGTATAGAGCACCAGGGGACCCCAAATCTAGTGAGCAGTTATAAGGATTGCTGAGCATCCAGCTAAAATGAACCCTTGTGCCTGCACAGACCTGATATAAAGACTGGGCCTGACTTCAGTCCTATTTAGCTCAGGCCTTGCCCTCCAGCCCAAATTGCAGCAGTCTTGACATGCACATCTAGCCCAGGTCAAGCCCACAAGGACTTTTCCTCTAAGACCTTCTCTGGGAGCTCCAAAGAGGCTCCTTTTTGGTTAATTTTTGGGACATCCCTTATATGAGTCATTCCAAGATCAGACATCAAAGATCTAACATCCATATGTAGATCACAGATCCCTTCCCCAGCTCCAGCTGCCAGCTGTCCCCTCCTTGGTGGAGCAAGGAGCAATGAGCAATGGTCTCAAGTTGCAGCTGGGGACCACGAAAAGTTGAGGTTGGATATTAGGGAAAACTCTCTCACTAGGAGGGTAGTGAAGCACTGGGGCAGTTTACCCAGAGAGGTGGACTCTCCACCCCTGGAGGTTTTTAAGACCCAGGTAGACAAAGCCCTAGCTGGGATGCTCCTACTTAGGGCAGGGGGTTGGACTAGATGTGACCACCTGAAGTCCCTTCCAACCCTCATTTTCTATGATTGCATGATTCCCCTTTGCATTTTGTTTAAGTGGGCCATCGTGCCAAGCCTCTGGAAAGGAAAAGGCAGGATTTCAAATCAGCCACACATCTCGACCAACGGCAGCACTGGGAATGCACAACGCCAGCACGGCGCGGACAGCTCTAGTCGGCACCGTGCGGGCACAAGGAAACAACGGGGAGAAAAGCAACGTGTGGGGCAATGCGATTTCACAGCATCGTTAGCAAAAGAAAGCTTAACAACAACAACAAAAAAGAGCAGGAAGAAGGGGTAGGATGGCATCTCCCCTTCTAGGAGACTCCCTTTGCATCCAAACACTGCCCTTGAAATGGATGTCAGCGTGCAAGATGGAAAACAGAAGAATAAATCACCCTGTGCCCCATCCATCACGGGCCTTGCTCCTTCCCGAGGCCTCAATGCTGCCTCCTGTGATTAAGTACCCTTTAAAATCAACCCCATCTATTTATTAAGGATTAACTGACACCAACGTGTCCTGGAGCTTCAGGGGCTGACATTGCACAAGGCCTTGCCTAGCCCACTCTGCCCCGATGGTGTTTTAGGGAAAGGGCAAGATTTGGACCTAAAGCGAGTCAGCGCAAGTGCCAAAAACAAAACAAAGCAAAAAAGCAATGTGACAAAGTAATGTGGACAGACACACCTCTTTTCCTCTTCCTCTCCAGCGTTCCCTCTGGAGCGGCAGCAGAAACAGGGCCAACAAAGGTTACGTGTTAAAGATCATGCAAGATATATGGATGGAGAGAAAAAAAAAGAGAAGAAGAGATGAAGGAAAGAAAAGAAAGTCATTAGAGGCAGAGAGGAAATCAAAGGCTCCCCCTCCCCAACCGTGAACGATCGCCCCCAAAACTCAGCTCCTCTCCTGGCATTTCTGCTACAGCCATGACGGCGGGACCCTAGCACTTTGGTTAACAGTCCTGGGGAAGGATTCAAGGCAGAGCTGCTTCTTTCGGGGTCTGGTTTGCTGAAGAGGGAGGGAGAGAAACCCAGTTTGGAGGGGGAAGGCTTGGTTAGAAGCAGAGAGACTGCCCTGGATGGCTCTTTCCCCGACGCGCCTTTCAGCAACAGGAATGCAAGTCTCTTAAGAGATGCGTTAGGAGGTGTCTCTGCTCCCGTTGAATGCAGAGGGGGAGAGACCCGTGTCCTAACTCAGGCAAACTGCCCCCAGCTACCATGAGTCTGCCTCAAGCAGGACTTCAGCATGGGCCCAATTCTGCCCAGACTCCGGGAGCCCTTCCTAGCCTGACACCAAGGAAATGAATGGTCTCGGGAGGGCTGCAATGCTTTGCTGAGCCCAGCCACGGACCCTGTTCCTGCCTGGCGCGCAGCACACCCACTTAAGTCCTCCCACGCTGTGAGATGGCACGATTTGGTCCGAGAACCAGCTTGGGAGACAGGGGCTGGCACCCCTGACGCCAGCTCGCCTCTCCTCTGCCTCCCAGCCCGCGCTGGAGGGGAGCGGTGCGCCTTACGTGTCGATTTGCACGGTGCCCAGAGAAAGGAGCTGTGGTGGGACAACATAACATGCAGCACATGCCGGAGAGACACCCCACTCCGCTGCTGGGGGTCTCTGGCGCTCGGGATGGAAAGCGTCCCTGTGGGGGATTTCTAGCTGCACACAGAGCCGCACCCCTGTTGGATGATCCCCTATTCATACGTCCTTCCTCGAGAGCTGCCAGCTAGCTGTTAGCCTATTTCATGCAGGCTTCACGACTGCAGAAGGCTGAGCTTTACATCGAAACGGTATGGACTTGCTAAATCAAACACCTACAAAGCATCCGCGCTGTCCCCCTCTCGCCCCAGATGCATCGACTCCAAGAAGGAAACCAGGTTTATTTGACAAGAGGGGGGGTTTTCCCCCACTGAATGATACATCACAGCCCTCTCTTTTCATTCTCTCTCAAGTGAACCCAATAGCAACTTCTTGCCTGGGACTGCCTTTCAGACTGGCCTAGATTTACATGCATCCCCTTCCTCGCCCTTTTGTAACACTGGCACTCGTCTCATCCTTCTGAATTTCCCTTGTATCCCAAAATATATTACAAATAAAAACACCAGCAGGCCAGCGACCCCCTTGGCCGGCTCTTCTAGAACTCTTGGGTGAGGTTACCTGGGCCTGTTCGTTAACAAGGCTCGTCCCTGATAGACGGGCAAGTACTCGATCACCCTGATGTCACAGAAACACCCAAGTCCCCTTTTTCATCTCTCTCAGAATCGTGACCCTTCTTCCATTTGCTCTGATCAGCCTAGGACTTCACTTGGTTTTCAGTGACAAAATGACTGCCTGTAACAAAAACCAAGGGCAAGACTAACACGTCCTGTGTTACTCAAGAAGTGTGTAATACCCAGGAGTGTATAACCTTCCTTTCACTAATATTTCCTTAGCAGAGCTTAGCAGAGCTGTAGGGGAGGGGAGAGGATGAAGAGCTGGCCCTCCCAGGAGGTGGCTGGGTTAACGATGACAATCCTCCGGGGGCGGCGGGGGATTAATGAAGGATTCTTAGGATAAATGACGTATGTCTGCGCACAGCCGTCAAGGCTCGTCCTAGAGAGGTTGAGACTCAGGATTCGCTCCAGTCTCCAAGGGCTTCGGTCCACAAACACGAGTGATTGCCGAATGTCTCCTCGGGTTCAACAAATGCAACTCCCACTGAGACCTGCACCTGAGGACATCAGCGCTTAACTCCAGACTGCCACGTTAGCAGGGAAGCCCTTTTTCCAGCTGCGAGCCCAGGCCAGGCAAGGTCATTTTGGTCCATCACGTCACCGTCTTTCTTGCCTTGCTGTTGGCCATTTCTCCTGCATTTGCATCTCCCCCGTAGTTCCCCGCAGCTGCTCCAGCCCCGGCTAGAGCTGCCACGACCTTCCAGCAGAGATGGGGGTGGCTGGTGGGAGGCGAGTGCTATCCATACGCTACCAGGCTGCAGCAGGAACCAGCCCAGTTTGAGGTTTAGAGATTGCAGAAAGAGCTACGGTGCAAAAATCCTGGGCAGGGCAATTTGTGACCCCCACTCCCCCCCAAACACCTGGTGGCAGCTGAAGCAGGAGGGGAGACAAGGCATCTAGGGACCACACAGCAGCACAAACCAAGCCACCCCTGAGTCATTAGGTGCTGAGTGAGGGCAGGATTTCCAGCTCACCTGACTCAGCTTTACGCCCCGACACTGCTGCCAGAAGCCTGCCGAAAAGCCCCA